CATGGAAAGGGAGGTCAAGCCTTGGCAGGGGCTGCCCAGCGAGGTTTGGAGTGCCCATGGCACTCAGAGCTCTGGGCTGGGGCCAAGGTGGGGACTGGGCACAGCTTGGCCTGGATGGACTAGGAGGGCTTTTCCAACCTCAGTTATCCTATGATTCTCTAATACAAGCAACACATTCATTTTCAATTCTATACTGGAGACAGAATCCTGCTAAAATTAGTCACAGATAAACTAGAAAACAACAGAGGAGACATCCTTTAAACAACAAAAACCATAAAGCAAAATAAACTAGACCTTCACTTTAAAAGCAGCTGTGTGAGTACTACCCTTAAATATAATCCACTTAAAATAGCTGTAAGAATTGAAGGTGCAGTGATGGATTTCATCACCTACTGCTGTCTGCAGGGAACTCACCTCCAAACTGCCCAAGTGCTGCTGGCTCAGTCTCCTCCTCAGCAGGAATCTAACACAGAGCTGCCGGGACAGAGTTAACAGGGGTGTGCAGAATGAGCACAGTCTCACCCAACCCCAGATTTGGGAGGCAACGAGGGGAAAGAAACAGAGAAAAAAAAAATTGTCTAGAATTTCTTGTGCAAATAATTTGGTTTTAAAAAGCTTTGCCCCAGGCTGTAAAGCCAAAGCACTGTGACAACATCGTGAGGCAGACATTGGGAGCTGCTCTGTGTCAGCCCTTCCTGAAGCATCCTAGGAAGGGAAAAACTTCTTGGCTCTCACTCTTGTACAGACAGTGAGCCAGACACTTCACCACTGCTGAGAGCAAGACAACTTGAGAAAGAAAAAACCAAAACCACAAACAAAACCAAAAAAACCCCACTGAATGCTTCCCCCTCATGCTTCACCATGAATTTTAAAATAGGAGGTTTGGAGAAGCTTTGGCAGGAAGCAGAGATTAAGCAAATAATCACTGTGTGGGAACACAAGCTTTCAAATTTACCAAGTGCACCATGGAGCTAAAGAGATCCCATGTAGAGAAGTAATACAAATTAATTCAATAATGAGATGTTTTACTATTTACTTGCCTTATTTAATTGAGATGGGGAGGTATCTTAAATATCAGGTTCAAGGCTTTTAAAGAAGGTTTCAGTACAACAAAGGGAAGTGAAGGAACCAAAACACAGAGTGTTTGTTTTTGGTCAGTTTTTGCTTTGTTTTCCTTTAAAGACAGCTCCATGTGGCTGCAAACTCCTCAAGATCAAATGTAGTCAAATTGAAAATGAGGAAGAATCCTCTATACCCACTACACTTGCACAGATTTTCAGTCTGTCTTTGCAGCTGCAAGACCTTCCATTTCTCAGAAAAAAATTGTGTAACCACCCAAACAGTCCCCACCACTACTGGAAAGGATTTGGCAGAGTGCTGGATTACGAAGGCAAAAATCACATGGAAGTTCTAAGACTAAAGATGTAAATAAAATATTTGAGTTTGCATGAATAATTTCAGAATGTATAGGCTGAAGCTTCCTGCTCATGTAGTAAAACTTCATCAATTTCTAAACATTTCTGATTGAAGCAGGCTGAGTAAGAGGTTAAAACATGCAGGAGTAAAGTGATTACTGCCTCTCCCTAAGGCAGTCATTAAGCTCAGGATCAGTTAGCAACTGTGGTGGAGATTTTTATCTAAAAAACAGGTAAATAAGGTCACTGAAAACTTTGTGAAACCGTAGTATCAAATGTGACAGAGCAACTGTCGACTCAAACAAAAAGCAGGCCAGAAAACAGCCATGTGGAGGAATGGCTCGTTTTCTGCAGCAGGGAATACAAAGAAAATTCATTTTTTATACAGACTATACGGCCAGCAGAGTGACTTTGAAAGTGAAGAATACTTTGTCCTCTCTCAACACCTTACCCAGGAAAAACCATCAGACACACACTGATATTCTGACCTTCAAAGCATATTTCAACTTCAATTCTATTTTTACATTAATTGCTGGGAAAAGGCATGAGTCACAGCCCTGCTTGGATCTCCCTGCACTGGACACTCACCAAGGGCTGTGTTTATTCCAAACTTTCCCAGGTCAGAACAGGCTCTTGCTTTATCACCTCAGTGTGAAGAACAAGGTTCAGCTGCCTCAGCCACCCAGGAATCCTGGCCTCTGTCTCCAGCTTGATCTCCCCGATTTTGGCACAGATGTTTGTTGCAAAGGAAGCTCTGGGATGCTGTGAAGTATTTCTGCCAGAAAGGGATCCCAGGATCCCAGCTCAGCTGTCTGCTGCCCACGGGCACCTTCCCTGTGCTCAGGCTGCAGCACTGACCCCAATCTGCTGACAGGGAAGGTCAACAAAACCTAAAGAGAAGCCTCAGGGAAGCCCAGGTGAGAAACACAGGCTCTGCACTTACAGACACAGCTGGGATTTGGAGGGTCCCACAGTCAGGCACCTGGAGAAACTCCCTGCTCCAACACTTGGACAAAGGGGAAATGTACAAGCCATGAAGAACACGTCATGCATCTGCTGATGGAAGTCAGCAGCCTGTGTGGTTCAGCTCTGTGCCCTCCCCAAGCTGAGTTTAGGAGCAGCCAAACGATTATGTATGCAGGCAAATTTCTGATTTTTTGATTTCCCCTTCTTTCTGTGTCATCCAGATCATTCCCTCTGGAGCAGGAGCTGCTCCACACTCCCCTGGCACTGTGCATGTCAGAGGCAGTGAGGCCCATGCTGCTGACTCACCTACACAAACCCTCAGGAGTTTGATTGGGTCCAGGCTCTTCATTACAAAGAAGCCTTTTAAGACATCAGAAATAAATCATCTGCCTGGTTGCCTTTAATGAAAGCTCTGTTACACAGGAAAAAGGGGGAGGGAGCATGAAACAATATCCATGGTGGAACAGCCAAGCCAGAAAAGAGGGATGTTTGAAGAACAGAATGAAAGACTTGAGAATTAAGTCAAGACAAGAAACAATAAAGTATGGAAATGGAGCAGGAAGGTACAAACAGGAAAGTCACAAATGCAATGAAAGGCTGAAGTGACTTTTTTTAGGTGAAAGAACAACCACACCTCAATAGGACAAAGAGGCAGTAACATATTCCCATGTCCCGACTTCCCGTGCAACAATCCCCGGTTATTTTAGTGGATTACAGTTGTATGAGCAGAAGAAATCATTTCCACACAACTGGTGGGGAACTTCAAAAGCAGCTAACAAGGCTGAAATCAATCTCTCTTCTCTTAAAAGTTTTACATAGCAAAGCCCTGTAACAACTGCCCCAAGTATTCTCTTAACAATGGCGAGGAGTTCAGAGCGAGCTGCTCAGGGCTATGATTCATTCGTGGCTCTCTGCCAGAAAAATAAATACGTTCAAGACCAGTGGCCCCAAGGGGAAAGGTAGGCCACTCTTTAAAAAGCACAAGATGAATGATTTACAGAGCAGAATCCAGTTTTCAGCCTATATGGATGAGGAGGAAGGACTTTTTTACATCTCCCAGAGATTTAGTGCACAGACTGGGATACTGGCAGTGCACCAACAGATGGAGGGAACTGGGAACTGTCGAGCTGGGATGTGCAGAACTCACTCCAAAGAGCAAGAAATGACCTCTCATATTGCTGTACACAGAGCTCATCCAGCCCTGCAGTGGGTATCCAGCAGCACAAGACAAACAGCTCAGGTTGCAGGAAGTGCAGTAAAGTCCCACCTGTGCAGGGACAGAGGGATCCTCTGGCAGAGTGACAGTGACAAACAGCTCAGAGCTGGGCAGGGCCTGACTCCACACAGCATCTGCTGCACAATAAAAATACTGAATTAGCTGCTAAAGAGCAAGCAGTACTTTGCTTTTTTCCTTTCTCCCCACAAGAACATTATTTCTGGATAAATGCTCAGCCAGCAAGGTGCAGGATGGAGACTGGGGCTTCACTGTGGGAGTGAGGCCAGCTCAGATCACACCAGCCTGATCTGGCACTGCCCTCTGATGTTCTGAAGCACCACCTCAGGTAGCCAGCACCTCCAGAAACACCAAACCCCACTTTTAAGTGTGTTTTTAATATTCAGAACATTCTCTTCAACTCTATTGCTAAGGGCTTTTAAAAGAAAGCTGCTTTGAAGTGCTAGCAACTGCATTCCATCATTAAAAAATTCCAGATTTACCTGGAAGTGGCTTAAATCCCCAAGTTCCACTTTTTGTAATAAGAACTTTTCAAACTGGGGACTTTGGCCTCTTACTAATAGGGCCAGAGAATGCCAGGGCCATACAAACATTCTCTGCCCCCATAAAAAGGTTGTACCATCAGCAAAGGGACATTTGAGGGGATTTGTTTCACACATTCTATCACCAATGGAGAATGCAAAGTGTTAAGAACCTGCCTCTGACCTTAGAAAGTTTCCCAGTGATTTATTTCCTATTTCACAGTAATTATTTCCTGAGTCTGGATTAAAATTTCAAACTCTAATATGTTAAAATAAGCAATATTTAAAAGTTTCCCTGTGATTAAAGCAAGCCTGTATGAGCCTCTCTTACATACAACAATGTATTTTCTATTGGCTTTCTTAAATTTATGCCCTGAACTTCTCCCTGGAAACAATTAGCAGACAACTTCAGTGCAGGAATTATTTTTTAAAGTGAGATCACTAAATCAAATGTAGCTTGAGAGATGGCCCTGATGATCACATAATACACAAGGAAAAAAAAAACCAAATATGTTGATCAAGAAAGATGTATTTTATTTCCTTTTTTTTACCATTATTATTTTTATCATTGACATTCTCACAAGGAAAATGAAACCTTGGCTGAATTTATTTCTATTAAAGAAAACTTCCCAAATTAGCAAACCCACCTGAGTCAGTGTGAAAAATATTTTATTTCCAAAAGATCTTCCCAATTTATTACACCAGACACAGATACTGCCAGCAATACCCATTCTTTCATGGCATGATTATGTAACAAGGCATGTAAAACTCCAGTTCTCTTTAATTTAGCTAATTCAAAGAGAGTTCAAGATCCATCTTTCTGGGCAGTATTTTAAAGGAAAAAAAAAAGATAATCAAAGAAATCAAACAATCTGTGCTTTTGTTCATAATATTCCCAATTTTCAAGTGTTTTGATGGAATCTTCTGCCAAAAACAAATATTGCATGTTTGCCCAAACAGATCCATGGAATTCTGATTTTCCTTCCAACTCTGGCCCTTGTGACAATGTCCATGAACTGGACACTTTTCATCTCAGCCTCATGACAGGAACACGATTTCATTGTTATTAAATATCCTTATTTATTAACATTATTAAATATCCTTATTAAAGGATGGGACACCTGCCAAGCTGCTCACTGAAAATCAGTGTGGCAGTTTTTGGGATTCAAGATGTCACAGGGAGCATCCTCAGAGGAATTCCAAGGATGAAGTTGGCAGGGCAGGAATGTCAGGGGACAGTTTCATATCTACTGAAAACTCAGTGGATTCTCCAGCTCTGTAAATCCCTGAAAGAACTACATCTGGGATACTGATTATTTTGAAAAATACTCCGAGGGGATTTTGGGAAGTAAAGCTACCAACACATAGAAAATGAGTGAGTTTGGGTTTTAGTCCATCTGTACAATTAATCTTTTATACTGTGAGTTCTTCAAAATATACAGAAAAATTCACTTCAGTATTTACAGAGTATAATTCCTTTGCCCTACTGCCAACAAACCCCCCATTTAAAAAGTTTCTATTTCATTAGGAAAATTGGGCATGTAAATCATCAGAACAGACTTCTTAAATGCACTGTAATCTTCCCAAGTATGCAAAGTCACATCTGTAAAACATTTAGAGAAAAAGTACCATTTATTTACCCATACACAGTATGTAAAGACTCAGGATGTCTTCTTTAACCCTCCCTTTGTCATCTTATATAATTTCCTCAAGCTGTAAGTTACAGATTTCTTTGCCCCTAAAAAAGAAGAAAGAAGAGAAAAAATATCAACATTTAGCAAGGCTGACTCAGCCAGAAGGTGCTTAGTGCATCAAATGAAGGATTTCCCTGGGGGAATGACAGCCTAATCCAGCAGGCAGACATGCAAATAACCTTCCTGTCACTGTCAGAACACAGAAAATAATGCCACCAAAAATACTTCTAATGCTATCAAAGCACAGCAACTAGAGCAGAACTGTGGTAAATACCACACCATGGCTACAAAGGCAGACTCTCAGTCCTCAGAGACCCAGCAGCAGTCGTTGCCTCCAAGCATTTCTGAGTTTTACACGTGATGGGACTGAGGATGACTCCCAAAAAATTTGTAAATGTATCCTTGGAGTTAAACAATTTCTGCAGTTCTACCTGAGATGAGCCTTCTCTTACAGACCTAGAGTAAAAACCCCCACGGGCTTTTGCTGGGCTTAGTCATGGAGTATTTGTGAATTTAAAAACAAAACACTGTCAGTCTTGGCATTTCAGGGGGTTTCTGAGATCCCAGCCACTGCAGCTACTTGCTTTTCCTTTTTTGTTTAAAAGATCACCCCAAACCAAACAAATCAACTCCAACCTAACACACAGAGTGAGTGCTCAAATCACAGCACAGTCTAATCACACCCTTACAAATTTACAACTGAAAAGACAACTTTTCAGTGCTGCACAAAAAGCTCTAATTTTGACTGGTGCACAGATTAAAGGTGTAGTAGATTATATTTACTATAATCTTTCCTATGTTTATTTAATTGAACACCTGACAAGAGTGACTAAAAATACACAAGGAATTCAGCCAAAAGTCACATAATATCACAGCCCAGAACACAAGAAAAGATTTGCAACAAACAAGGAACCTCAACCCAAGTTTAGCCATGTGCTGTACTGGATTTTTCTTTTTTTGGGGGGGGGGGAGAGTGGGACTGGAATAATAATATTTGATTTGGAAAGACCTCGAAAAATGAAGAAAGTAAAAAAAAAATAAAACGATTAAAGAGAATATTTTAAGTGATAGATGCACTCAGAGTCGAGTAGCAAGAAGTCAAATGAGTAGGAAAAGTGCACACTCTTATTTCTGAAGGAATGTGGCAGAGTAAGAAACCTCTGCTAACAAATAGACTGCAGAGAATCAGTTCTGCACTTCTCATGTTTCCAGCTGCCATTGAAATAAACTCAACTTCACCTTTTGTAGGAAAACATCCGTATATGTATTTTGAACTGACAACCCCATGTGCCTCCCATGTGTACGCTCCAACTTTTCCATATTTACCAGGTTTTTGCAAAAGCGAGCACGCTAATGGAGTCACGGCAGCCTTTTCTTTGCAGCATCTCAAATAACAAATAAATAACCACGTAAATCCTGAAGTGCCTGACAAACCTGCACACAGAGCACCAATTCCTGCAGCAGCACAAAGGCAGGCTGAGCTCTGCACAGCACAAATGAAAGAAGAAATCAGAATTGTGTCAAATTGTGGCTCTGCAAGTGCCCAAGCTGCGGGATGCAGCCCCTCTGATGGAGGAGTTGCTGCTCTGCCATTCCAATGAATTCCAGGTGCTGCTGGAAGTGCAGCACAGCTGCTGCAGGGGAAGCGCTGCTCTCAGCCTGCCCAGCTGCTCTGCCCGTGCAGCAGAGATCCTCCTCCTCCTGATCCTCCTCCTCCTCCTCCTCCCCGAGCTCCAGCCAGCGTGTGGAACGAGCTGCTGGCCCAGCACAGCTTTGTCCATCCAGCTGCTCACTCACAGCTGCAGGAAAAGCTAATGGCTGCAATTACGGCTCACTCCCCCCATCTGAAGCAGTTGCACCACATGAAAATGTCTTTCTGCTTCAGCTCTGAGTCTGTGACTTGGTGGTTCCACCTCCCGTTCAGATTTTTGCACTGTAGGACACAGAACAAAGCCCTGCTGCTCGTGGCACCGAGCCCGCAGCGTTTCGGTGTGAGCACAGCCCGGCTCTGCTTTCACTGAACCATCCACACTGATCGGGCTGGGAGCCCCCAGAGCTTCCTGCTAGGTTTGCCTGGCTGCAGTGCCCTGCATTTCCCTCTCATGCATGCACTGCTGCACAGCTGTCATGTGGAGCAAATAATTATATATTTGTAGTGTGGCATGCACAGACACATGCATATTTACAGTGAAGCCAGCAGTTATCTGCTCAGGCAGCCAACGAATAGAGTAGTTATCACAAAACCAGAATATTTTATATGTAAACCTGCTCCTTAAAAGAAAAAAAACTTTGAAAACAAATGCTGTTCAGAACATTCGTGCTAACTTAAAAGTATCTTGGGCAAATGCTTCAACTGTTGGTTTAATCTGTAAGATTGTATTTATAGAAATTTTTTCAAGGCTTGCAGCATTCCTTGAGGAAAATATAAAGAAGAAGGAAGCTAAAGAAGTATCAACATCTCCTTCAGAGGAGCTAAATATAAGAGTTGCAGAGTGAGTTCCCAAAGCCCAGGCAGGCTCTGGCTATGTGGGAAAACAAATCAAACCCTGGTGCCATCTCTAATGGGAAACAGAGAGGCAACCTCACCACAGCCTCGAAGAAATACACAGGCACATTTTCAAAAACTAAATAGGGCATTTAACAACAAACAAAAACACAGAGCTGGGGCTCCACTTGAAAACCACATTGGCAGAGAAAGATGAGAAAAGCTCTCTCAAATGGGTTGAAATTCCTTCTTGTGCTCCTTGCCAGTAATGTTCATACCCAGCATGGCAGCTCAGCACAGCTATTGCTGATTTACCACTGAAATTCCAAATGCTGGACACTGCACTGCCATGCTGTGAGCAGGCTTCTCACCTTTGCTGGTGTTCTTAAGATAAAATAATCAGTGAAAGAAAACAGATTGGGTCCCTCAAAACACTTCAAAAAGAGTGATGGCCAGCTAATGAAAACTTTCTTTTGCAAGCCAAGTATTTGTACAGTTATTAGGAACAGCAATAAATAGTCAGAGCTTAATGGAGCCACAGACTTCATGATTCTCTTTCCAAATTCTTTTATTTTAAGCTACTATTCCTGACATAAGCACTGCAGAAGGTCAGAGCCTTATATTTCTCCTAAAGTCTCTACTAGAAAGTGTGAAAATAGGTCTTAGGGGAACAGAATATTAAACAAGATTTGGAAAAAGAATAAAGAAAGAAGTGCAGCATCCTCAGGGACTGAATTTAAAGCTCCACACTTTCCTGTAAAACACATTCCTTGCCTGAGTCAAGCAAATACTTGACTACATGCAGGAACTACATTCCTGTTTTCTCTGTGTAAATTCTGTATCCTATGAACATGGAGAGCCCCAAGAGCTGGCACAGCCAGGAATGCTGCCCCAGTGATGCATTTTAAATTAAGAAACCATGACTGGGAGAAAATCTTCATTGGAAGATACTGACAGATTTAAGGTAAACTCAATCATAAGTGTTTGGAGACAAATAGTAACAAAAAATTAAAAAGGGCAAAAGGTTTTTGCTAATTAACTCTAAAGCCATGGACACCTATCCCTCCTCAATTCCAGGGCAGATCACACAAACATCACACCTCAAAACTACTGAGGTGATAGCCCTGAGCAGTTAAATTTCACTCCTGAATTCTGTCTCTAAGGGTTTTGACCAGATTCTGGCAGAAGAGTGTAAATATATTTAAAAAAACCAAAAAACCAACAAAACTAAACCATGCAAAAAAGTAAGAAAAATCCACTCCTCCAAGCCTCCTTGCTCAAATTTGGCTTGTGCTGGAGGCAAAGGACCAAAATTGCCTTGCTCTACCTAAATCAAGTCATAAAAATATGTTTTCACCACTAAAACCACTAGTAGAAAATAGCTTTTAAATACAACTCTACATTACTGATTAGAAGGAAACTACAGTTTGTTTCAAAGGGAAAAAAGCCACTATATATAAAACAAAAAGCAGTTAAGACCGAGGGAAATAGAGACATTTTACAAATAACTGATTTCAGGTGCAAGAATCAGAAACCATGATAAAAATTACAGGTGCTACTCCAAGATACATTGGGACCCCCCAAAGTGCCAGTGCCAGGAGAGGCTGGCAGTGATTTACTGCATGAACACACACGAGGAGCTCTGGAGAACAAAGACAGAGCAAATAATCTCCACAGCTTTTAACTGTTCCTGTTCTACTCCTGCACTTACCCAGCTCTGCCCACTCAGAGGGGCACTCAGGATAACTGGAATTCAGCAGGAATAACACTGTCTCTCACTCCTCCCTTCCTATTATTTTGCTCCTCAAAATCTCCTTTTCATACATCCAGAAACTGAGAAAATGAAAGCTGATGTTGTTGTTTGGTTTGTTTATTTAGGAGTCACACAGACTCCAGTCCCTTTCAGCATTTTCTAATTTTGCACTAAAGCCTCTGCTTTAAATGTTGCTTTTATATCCCAGAGACTTTTCACGAAACACACAAAAAGTTTATTCTTTAAACTCCTGTAGCAAGATATTCTTGGAGCCCTGTCATTTCTCCTGTGTGAAATCAGAAGGCCCATGTTGATAGAAATCACACACATTCTTACCAGCTGTCAGGATGGTTTTAGCACTCTGCACTATACTGGAGGGTCTCACAATTCCTGAAATGCCTGCAGAGGGAAAAGCACACAGATGTTACCCATCTCAGTACTTGTGTGGAGATTTTATCCCCTCCACCATGCACAAGTTAAATTTTGCTCCAGTTATACAATCAAGCTAGCCTGAAAGTAAAACATACAATGAGAAAATTTGTGTTTGCTCTGCTTTTTCACACTAATTAAAAGTATTCTCTAAAGTATTTTAATTCATTTTATATGTAGCATACAGAAAAAAACCCACATCAGTATTAAAACAGACAAGCAGTAGGAATTGAGCTAATCCATTTATTTAGTGCTCCCATTAGTTCTCTACTAAGATGATTAATCACAAAGGATTGAGAGTTGTTTCATCTAAGTGCTGGTAAATTAACATTCTAGAGCAGAACAAATGATATTCCCTGTTTACTTCAACATGAAATTGAGATTTGGCACTTCTCTGATCAAGCAGAGATATCTCCATTGTGCAGTTCCTCCCTGGCTTTTCTAAACTACAGCTTTTGGAGACAAGGCTTGTTTACCCCTTTGCACTGTGGCACATTCAGTTCTCATTGTCCAGGGGTTCTTCATAGAACAGTTTAAAAAATATTAATTTTTTTTTCAGAACTATTAAGTTATATTTGTTCTAACACGTATAAAAGCATACTGATATGTACAAAAGTACTCACATCACTAAATACTTGAAAAAAATGTGCAAGTGCAGCAGTCTCAGAGCTAATCCTCCAAACTGGCACATTCTGCACTGACCCACAGAATATAATCTCAAATATTTTTAAATCCTGCTTGCATGCTGAAGAACAAAGCTTAGCATAATCCATGTATAAGTAAGAATACAATATTCCACTGGAAAATCATTTGAGGGGTAGGAATAGGGAGGGGAAAGGAACAAATTGTGTTGATGTAGCAAAATATCTTGGGACAATGCAATTCAACTGGAGTAATCAGCTCTGTCTTGTAGGATTCCCAAAAGGCTTGGCCTGGCCTTTACCCAGATTGATGAATTAGGAAAATGCTGTGGCCACAGAAGTGAAAGAATATCTTGATCTGTTCTCCTAAGAGTTCAACCTGCAGGCCTGAGAAGATGTGTGCCCTTTGCTGCTGCACTGCTGCTCCCTGTGCAGCCACAGCTGTGCCTGCCAGAGCTACAGAAATGCAAACACAGCAGCCCAAGCTCAGGGGGCACTCAGAGCTCTGTGTGCAGCTCAAACACTGCAGCCCCTGCTCCCACATCCAGCCTCCATCCCTCTACTGCTCCAGCCCAGCCCAAAAAAGGAGCTGAGCACCTCCATGGCCAGGTGCTGCTGATCCCAGGCTGTCCATGGAGAACTGCAGCACCCAGGAGTTTTATTTCCCCCCCAAAAATCAGGCTGAGAGCTCCCTCAGCTCCCTGGTTAGTGTCTAGTGGCTCCCAGGCTTCTTGGGCATTTTTGCTGTGCTCAGAGAGCTTGCAAAATTTGCTACCTGGAACAGAAAATGTGTCAGGTTCTTAAAATGCATAAAGGACTCCAAGTACTAAACTTTTTCATTTTCCTGCAGTGTGCCAGAACATTGGTGTCTGCAGCATCAGCTTTAACTTGCTCATATGACATAATCTTGCCTCAGAGCAGTTGTGCTGATGAGAAGCACCTCAGCCTTTTTCCTCCAAGCTGGAGTTCTCTGCCAGGCTCACATGTCTGGGCTAACCATGAGGACTGCAAAGGGAAATGTCAGCAAGTCAGAAAATGACCTCAGCCTTGCAATCTGTGACTGGGAGGATCTAAAGCTCAGTATTTTGATGAAGTTTTGCCTGAAGATGGAAGCACCAGAGTTAGCAGGCCACACTGTTATTCCTTAACTTATGTCTCTTTCAGGACTCAAACCAAAACACATCTTTCTGTACCACTAGGAACGCTCCTGATAATATTTCAGATAACCTGTCTGCAATCAAATCCAAACCCAGGCTTTTAGGAATGTATTTCATGATTCACCTCCTGGAATTTTTCATCCTTTTCTTTAATCCACCCTTCTGAAACAGGAGAACATATACAATAGATTTGTGTATCTATCACGTCTTAAAGGAGGTAACAGGCATTGGTCCAGACCTACCTTGATGCACCACAAATCCACAGTCAGGGTCATGGGCAACTTGCAGTAAAATTTCTTCCACATCTCTGTTTTTTCCAGGAGGGTTTACCAGAGCAGTTATCTTTTGTTGCAGAGTCTTTGGCAAAGCCATGAGTTGTGTAAATTGACCTTCTGGACTTTTATCAATCTGAATGTAATAAAAATAAGACATTAAAACCATTCAGTTTTCTTTTTTTTTAAAGAAGTCAGAAAATTGACCTCTGATAAATACCTCACAGAAGCTGATCCATTTCACTAGAAAAAGTCCTTGACAATGCCAGCAAAAACTTCCCAAGCACAGGGAAATGCAGTATCTCAGTTCTCAACTTGAAGAATGCCTAAGTGCAAGGGTTTTTATTCAAGGGAAGACACACATGATCTTTCTGTGCCTGCAAGTAAGTTTTCATCGAAACTGTATCATTTCTGTTGTATCTAATTTCCTTTGGAAACATAAGTACAGGACAATAAAAAAAAGTTCCCCAAAGACCACTCAGCTGAGTTTCTTCTGCCTGAACATAATCAAACTGCAGACACACACACATTTCAAGTTTAGTTTGAAAACCATTTTCTCTGCTTTAAACTCCAAACCACATCTGGTTTGTATAATCTGAAGAAAACATTCATCCCACATTTTCCAATCTAAATCAGAAATCCAACGAGCCTTTTTTCAATACAATGACACCAACATGCAGGCCTGGACGGATTTCTCCAAAATGTAATGCACAATGGGGCAGAGCTCTCCAAAAGTGGAGGAAAATCTGAAGAGCTCCATTCCTCCTACACAAGGTTTTAGCCACTTCATGGAGACATCAGACAGGAGTCTGGTTGCCCTCTCCACTCCCTTTTGTCAGTGTGGAGAAAATGATCTCCAGATGAGTCAGCCCCAACTCCAGAGGCACTGACAGCGAGCAGCTCTGAGCATTGTGTGGGAGGAATCCGTGCCTGAACCAAAGCTCAGAGCTGGGCTCTGCCTTCCCTTGGTTCTGAGGGACCTCTGAAGAAGGAATTTTCCCTGTAGCTCCTGGAGAAGGGGGTTCTATTCTGTGTTAACTGCACCCCCAACAGCACTCAGCCACCTCAGTCTGGGCAACAACTGCCAATAACCACAGGAAGGTGTGACCAATAAAGTATTAAAGCACTTTGTTGATTAAATGCCCTCATTTTCCTCTTGATTTGAAGCAGTCTTGATGACTGTTATGGGATTGTGGAGAGATTTATTATCCAGCAATAAATTTGCAGTATGCTACCAGGATTTGTTTAAAGGAATTTTTTCTTGAAGGAAGTGCTACTAATTCTTTCCCAAATTCATTTAAATATTGCTTCCACCAAACTGTTCACAAGCAGTAACAAAACACGGAGACAGCTGCAAGAAAATAAAGATTTGCCAGTGTTTTCTCCCAAAGCATTGCAGTAAAACTGTTTACTGTACTCAAGCCTGCAGTTAAACCAATTTGAAACAAAGACACATCCTAAAAGGTGGCATTTGGGAGAGAATTACCAAGGCTTGAGGACAAAAGAGATGCCCACATCCATGAGACAAGTGGTGCTATTTGTGACTTCACTATGAAGTTTATAAAACACTTGAATATTCACACAAGGACATGCAGATTACAAAAGGAAAAATTGCTACTGACTGTGATATCTCTCCCCTAACTGCAATGTTACACCAGAAAGATGGAATTCAAGATATTGGTCACTCTGTATTTCCCAAAAAACTAAGGAAAAAATGGTTTTGTATGGGTATTAATGCCAGAATTTCACTTGGGTTTAGTCAGCTGATCTTCACAGTCAGAACTTGAGGAGGTTTTTTGTGAGATGCAGTTTTTGATTGCAGAAAGTTGCACCTCTGAGTTACAGCCTCATGTCTCTAACACAAACCATCTGTTTATTCCTCACTTCCTAGCCTGTTATTCCCATATGGAAGCCATTAGAACACACGTTTTACAATGATGTGCTCTGGTTCCCTTGCTGGGGTCTATTGTGTGCCCATACTCACAGAAAAAAATGAGCAGTAGTTCCCCCATATGAAAACACTGGTATTTAAGGCGAGTCTGCAGAATGAACTAAACAACAGAAACACAACAAACAGCAAGCACAGAGACTACAACTGCTCTCCTGGTGCATGGCACAACTCCTGCCTTCTGTCAATGATAAAGCACTTGCTTGTTTGAAGGCTGGTTCGAGGGAGAACACTTGCCTCGAGCCTTCCCAGATGGTGCTTGTACACCACTTGAGGGCAGTCCTGGAGTATGGTACTGTACAGCTTCTGGAAATGGGCAACGTTGGGCTTCACTATGTTCTGCACTTTGGATTTGTCCTCTCCTATTATCATTCTGAAATCACCTAGGCAGGAAAAGAGACAGTTAAGCCATTAGGAAAACCCCAAAAACACTAAAGAGAATATAATAGAAATCAATATAATACAGAGCTGTCATCTAAAACTCTACTCTCCACTATTATATACGCCAATATAATGCACAATAATAATTTTCTAAGAGTAAAGAAAACCTATCCAAACACGTTCAAGCACAGAAAAAATGTCCTTGAAGGCACATATTGTTATGTGGCCTCTGACAAAATGTCATCAGCCCACGTGTCTACATCTTCACTTGGACAACAAAATAATTCCAGCTGTCAAGTAACAGTAACAGTCTTTGCAACTATACCTCAGTCTCAACAAGTACTAAACAAATTGCCCAGTCCTCATACTTTGTATCCACAAGCAAATGAGGTTAAATTTTCCAATTTGAGAAGTAATAATTTGCATTGTTTCCACACTCAAGGGCAGCACCTGGAGTTCAGCTAATGGCAGTCATGGTAAAATCACTGGGTCACTTTTCCTCTTAGCTATGTACTATGTTAATAGTTTCAAAAAGAAATTCCCTTTAACACCACTGTTACATTACTGGTCTTTACACTCTCTTTTCAGAGACATGACTGAAAAGTTTCCAAAAGAATAAATGAAAAGCCAGTCAGTCTGTGCAAAAGCATTCCACTACCTCTGTTAGGTACCAGCCTGGCTGCTTGCTGGGTTTCCAGCCAGGATTTAGATGCTCAGTGTAGCTTGTACCAACAATCAACATTGTGAATCAATTCTTTTTCCCACTTCCCACATTCAGGAGATAGATGTTGTTGAAAGGTGGCAACTTGCTAGCCTTCCTTAGTTTATTTCAGTTTATGCCAAGCCACAAAACAAACACTTCACATATAAATGGCACTGAGTCAGTGCTCTCAAAAAATGCAGGAAAAAATAAAGGATAAACATTTTCTAAATTAAAGCATGAACAACTCTTTTCAGCAGTCTCCAAGGAGACTGATTAGAGTAACACATAAAATCAATTTTGTCTACTAGTACAGCCTCTGAAAGACTTAAGAAAATGGCAGCAAAATAAATATCCACAAGCAGCCGTTTTCTTGCACATTCCCAAGTGGGAGCTGCTCTGCTTCAGCTTTGTTCACACGGCACAGCCAGGCTCAGCATTTTACTGATTTTTCTTTAATTGCACTGTTTCAAAGAGTAGATAAAAAGTATCTTGGTCACCAGTGCCCAGCAAGAATCCAATGCCAGTGCTGGGCAGGTTTCAGGTGGGCAGATAAGCAGTGAACACCCCTGGCTGGCAATCCCACTGTCAGCACCCTCTTCCTGGTGCTTTACACAGGCAACAATTCAGGAAAGAACTGCTCTACAAAAGCGAGGGGCAATGTGAACTGCCCTGAGAAGTGTTACATAAAACAGTGACACTCCTCAGTGCAGCCAAGCTGCAGCTTAGACCCCTCTGTGCTTCCTTTAAAAGCCAAAACTGCATTTCTGTTTGAGCTAAGGAAGTGCTGTGTAACGTACAACTCCAACCAAACTCCTTCATTGTAATTCCTGTAAGGACGTCAGCATTTTAAAAGCAATGCTGAGTTAAATTGCAACAATTACATCTTATATTGAAGAACCATTTGCAGCAGTTTCTTAAATACTTTTCCTTAACTATTTCTTAGAAAAAATAAAAAAAAAGAAACTCAACAAATACCAATCAGGTGTGTTAAATGTAAATCAAAGATTCACAATCTGGATCTTCAAGTTAACTAAATAAGAACCTTAAACACAGCACCCTCAAAAAGAGATGACAAGGTATGAGTCAGACTATCAGATGACTCAACACTGCACTGAGTGGAAATAAAATTTTTTTTCCCAAGGTTTTGAAACATTCCATCAAAATACAATCCATGCAAACAGAAGAGAGCCCTCATTATTTCATCATTTCAAATCACTCACACTTAGCTGTTCATAAATCAAGCAGGTATAGGCAGCGCTGCTGATGCAGCTACACCTATTTCCTGTGAATAAGCCCAATTATTGGAGCAGTTATGTAACCACCATTCAGAGAGAACTCTTGGTGCAAAGCAAGAAGGGAGATGATTTATCACACATGAGACTCCAGCTGGGCTCCAGCAGCTCCAGCTCCAGCTCTTGTCAGCCACTTCAGACCCCCCACACTCACCAGAGTAGGAGAGTGCTGCAATCTGCATGTACAGGTCCTCTTCAGAGAAGCTCTCTGGCAACATGAGGAAGGCTGCTGTCACTGCACTCTTCAGGTTGCTGACAAGAGCAGCTTGCAGCCTGCTGTTCTCATTCTGGGCCAGGATTTTCACCTGGAAAAGCAGAGCCATTGGAAGACTTCAGGAAAGTGCTACTGAAGCTGGAGCTAGAAATGTTATTTATTTTTCATGCCAGATTGAGTAAGAAATTAATTTTAGATTAGATCTTACTAGCATGGCACAACAAGTACTAGAGTATCCCCACCACGTGAGAGAAACAAACTTGTTTTTAAGAATTAACACTCTACTAGAAAAAGCTGTTTTCACACACAGCTTTGGAAGTGCTACATGCACCAGACATTAGCTAATCTCTGAAGAGCTAGTCACCTTTCCAGACCTGTAAATTTAAGATTAATCAGAACAGGAAATATGAATGCATCAACAGAAATACTCCACATGTGATTGTGCAATAAGAAAAAAGACTATACTAAAAGAGAACAGAAAACCAGACAGGGTTAAGTTCTCTTACTCATCTTCACTCTTTAATTTTTTTTTAATAGAGGACTCCCCTGTCAAACACTTCGAGTAGTTTCTCAGACAGGGGTTGTCCTAGAAGTAGGGCTTTATTTTTGCCCTTTGCATGAGTAGAATGTGAACTCAAGGAGATCTTCACTTATCCATGAGGAACAGATCACTTGAATGCCTCTACCTGCCACAAGAAGTGTTTATTTTTAGGAAACATTGAAACCGACTGGGGAATCCAATCACCTAGGACATGGAAATATACTGGAATAAAAAGCAGATCTTTGGTAAGAACTGAAGATAAAAACACACTGGCAGATGAAGGGAAGTGGTTTAGGAGATGGATAGCTGTGCATTTCCAGAAACAACTCCCCTAGGAATCTCTGCTTGGTGTGAGTTTGTCTTTTTCAAGTGTTCTGGTTAAGCAATACTGCCTAGTTTATAAAAGGCAGCTTTTTAATATTTGTCTACTCTACAACACCTTAAAATTCAAACCCACTGGCCATTGTGAACAAATCTCACCAAGCAATTCACTGAGATGTACGTTCCTAACTTGTCACTACAGGGAAATCTAAGGAAAGTCAGAACAGAAAAATCTGTAGCACCCCAAACAGCCACAGAGGTGACTGAGATACCTTAGGATTGCCATGGAAACATCAGCAAGCTATGGACCTGTCAAGGACACCACCTGAGCTTTTTAAAACATGAAGCTCAGCACAGATGCTACTCCTCCTCATGGAAGACACCAGCCTTGCTTCAGAGAAGCAAAAGGAATAACCTCCTCCTTTTCTAAAACTCTCCCCTAATACAAAGTAGGATTTTTTGAAAAGAAAACACACCGGGCTTCAAAATCTGAATGCCTGAAACACTTGATAGCACTTATGAACAAATTTTCAATGGTTCAGAGAGCTACACATCTCCCAGGAAGTCAGAATGCAATGGTTATCACCTTGCTAAAACATGAATGTTGATTCTTGGAGTAAAGCTGACAGAGCACCACAGTTAAGGGAGGCTTTTTCACAGAACAGAGAATTTATATTCACTGTACCATGTCACAAATGAAAGCAGCAGCAAATGCAGTTACACTGAAAACAGCTATTCACTATTCACTGTTGATGTGACATCCAGAATTCTCCCTTCAGTTATCTTTCTCAATGGATTAAGTTTCATTCTTTACAAAGATAACAGCTGCTCTAACCTGGATCATGCTGTAACACTTCTCTGGAGATAAAGCCAGTAGTCTGAGACCATCTATTCAAACTCTCACTCCAAGTTTTTTAGCTAAAAGCATAATTAACTTCTGTTCCAAGACGTGAAGAGATTTCTCCTCTAATTCTACCCCTCCCTTGGTAACAAATTTTCCCTTAGCACTGCTGCCATCTGCTGAAAGCACATTGAGGCAGGCACAAGGGGGAAAGCAAAGATTATTTTTTATGATCCAAATGTGGAGGAGAAAAACCAACATGCAGAACCCATGGTTCATTCAGTTATGAACCAGACAGTAACTGTACAGCAAAGCTGCTTTCATCTTTAAAGATTTCCATTCTTTATCTCTGTTAAATTTTGGCCACCTCCATAATCTGTTATAAAAGGCAAATAACACATTTAACATTAAAGAGACTTGGCATTAATAGAGTCCAGTTCAAGATTTACTACAGGCAGAAAACTGTTATTAATATACTCACCTTTAGGGGTTCATTTTGCACAGAACATCATTAAGAATATCATTATCTCACCTCCTCTCTGAGAGATTATCCCTCTGTGGCTATACCCCAGATTATTTGTGCAGCACTCCTGCACAGATCCCTACCAGATAAAGTTCTAAACCCAACTGATTCTTTCCAGCCCTGTAATTTCCTGCATTTCCAGAGAGAAAACTGAGCAGTTACCGGCTTTTGTAGGCGCCCAGCCACATAGAGAGTTTTCCAGTGAAGCAAATCCTCAATCAGGGCATCAGTGCTAATTACTCCATATTTTATCATCTGCAAAAAACAAAGCAAAAGAAAGGCTTTTGAAAAAATCTATACCTACACCGTTTTCTTCACATGGAAATTACTACTTGCCATAACTGTCCTTAATTCTAAGGCACACATACCTCCAATAAAAAACTGGAAAACATTTTAATGTTGTAATTAACACACGAGGTTAAATAAAAATCTCCTTTTACATTCAAACTGCTGCAGGGACAAAATGGAATGCATGAAACTAAGATCCTTTCTAGAATCAAATTTGCAATAAAGTCAGCAGCCAAATATTACAATAGCTGGAATAATCCACATTATCCTTTATGATATTAAAAAAACCTCAAGCAATAGTTTGTCAGAGACCTAAATTAAAACCTGCAGACATTTATGTATCCTGTTATTGGGAGGTGGGGTGTGTATCAGGGCGTTTTTTCTTTTACTCTTTGATGTTAGGAAAAAAAAATTGTGATTTTGCAGCTTATTTTATGTAACTGGAAAAAACATGGGACTTTCCACAGATTGTTACCAACGTGCACTACTTGAATTTCCAAAGATTATCACCACAGCAAGGCAGCCAGCTCCAGAATTTCTGGATAACAAAGGACCACAGCCTGGGATATGACTGAGTCATTAGAACATAAGACCAGGGCATAAAGAGCCAAGAACACAGCGTGATGGCAAACACCACTGGTCCTTCAAATGAAATTCCAAATCCCTTTCTACATGAAACAAATAAGGTTTAAACCCCAAAATCTCGTACAGGGACAAGAACAGCAAGACTGACAATGTTTCCCTCACTCCTCCCTACCAAAAAGAGGTGCAGGGACAGGACTTGCAGGACAAGAACCATCACCAGAACGATTAATTGCCTCACAGGTCAGAGTATGAGACACTAAACAACACAAATGTCAGTTCCAGCCTGCTGTGTTAACTTGCATTTTATATCAAACAGTCCATTTTGCTCTTCCATGGTCAACTGCTGAAATTAAGCACCACCAAAACTTTACCACCACCAAAACTGGTAGACAGAAAGCAATGAGGAATAGAAATCCAACTCCTGAAATGCTTTAGCTGTAAGTTCTGAACACTGCTCACACTTTTAAGGTGCAAGACCAGCTGCTCTGTTTGCTTTTTAATTAAAATGCTGTTAGAGAAGCAGTTAGAGACATAAATATTGAAGATACCACAAGTTAATCTACAATTACAATCTGTAATATTTGCTTCCTGGAATCTGCTTTAAGCTAATCATTTTAATACTTCACAGACATAAATATTTGACTTAATTCACTCAGACTACTTGTACTTACCCTGTCATTGCATGGCACTAAGGTGTTGTAGTAAATTCCTGCTCCATATCTCTGTACAGTACTTATCTTTTTGGGCCCAAAAAATTTAAGGAAGGAATAATGACTCCTGTTCTTTGACAAGTTTGTCATATGCCAGGTCACAGCATCATCAACAGCAAACACAAAGTCCAGCATATTTGTCTGAGGACGACAAGAGGAGTGGGGAGGGGTTAAATGTCAAGAAGAACCAATGTTATCATAATAATTTAAGATATACATGGCATCAAACTTCCAGTGAAACATTTTTCATGAGTAAAAAAATAAAAATAAAACCCAAACCACAAGTATTAATGTCAGATACTGTTTAAAGGTATGGACATTATGTACTGTATGTACATCAGATAGTCCAAAATTTTCCTGTCCTGGTCATGACTAAACTTCAGCCCTCCAAAACAGAGGAGCAGGTGTGAGATCTTCACCCCCCCTAATTCACAGCCCAGTGGAACAGCTAATAATGCTAATGAACAGCAATTTTTAGCCATGAATGGGGGAGTGTGGGCAGATAAAGGCACCACCCCAGAGCAGGCAGCAAGGAACTGCATTTCTAGGGCATTCCTTTGTAGGGCATTCCTGTGCTTTTGTCAACAAAACCCAAAAAGTAAAAATAAACATTTCCAAGCTGTTGGCCCTCAGAAGATGAGGAAGCCCCCAGACTGCCAATTCACTGCGGCGATCTATTTTAAACTCCCCTCATACGGTGCACAGCAGCTGTGATAAGTCTCCTCAAACGCAGTGGTAAATAACCTGACACACAGTCGATAACATGGAGCTGAAAGGGACCCCGAGCCCCCACAAAGCCAACCCCAGTGCCGGGAACAGCCCGGACAGCGCCGGGCACGGACCGGACACCCGCCCGCCGCTCTTCCCCGGGGATCCGGGATGGCTCCACACGCCGCAGGGCCGGGCCGGTGCGGGGCCCGGAACGCCGCGGGGCCCGAGCGCTCACCTCGCCCTGCTCGGCCGAGGCCCCCGCCTGCCGGAACACCCCGGAGCCGTAGGCGAAGGCCAGGCTCAGCTCCTGCGGGAAGTGCGCCAGCACCCGGCGGAACTTCACGGCCGAGCTGGACAGCACGGGCAGAGCCATGGCCCCAGCCCCGGGCCCGCAAGGCCCGGCTCGGCCCGGCTCGGCCTGGCCCGGCCCGGCTCGGCCCGGCGCTCCCGCCCACCGGCGGCGATAGGAGAGGCCGCGGCGGCGCCGCGCTGCGCCCCCTGCAGCCCGGCATGGGCATGGCGGGCGGGCTGCGCCTCCGGGCCTGGGCGGGCCGAGAGGGCTAACAGGGACCCAGTCAGAGAGCGCTCAGTGCTCCATGCAGGAT